GGCCAGAACCGGTGCCACAACACGAAGGCCCCGGCACGCCAGCCTCCAGTTCAAACCAGAGCTCGCTCTCCCTACAGCCAAGCGATCCCATTTGGCTCCAGGTAAATGGGATCTTTGGCTTTTGTACACGCCTCCAGCTAGTGAGCCTGTGCTCTTGCTGTTCTGCACTGTTTACACCTCCAAACCTACATCCTTCCGTGCCCTTCTCAATCTGTCTCCAAGAAATTCCTCTTCTGCCCCATGCAGAAAAGCTCAGAACCGGGGCTCTGTGTCTGTGTAGACCTGAGCACAGTATGCAGAACTCACACCTTAGTGTAAATTTATTTAGTGTAAATTTAGAGCAGGAAGTTATCCTGGTTCACCAATACCTCCAACACCTAGAATATCTTGAAGCCTGAGGAATGCATAGATAGTATTAAGAAATGTATTGTTTTTTGGTTTTGTTTTTAGTGGTTTAGTTTCTTCCCCTGGATTCCCAGACCCCAAACCAGCCCTCCTGGAGAGAAAGCAGGAGAGCCGGTGGGGTGCGGATGCTTCTGGGGAGGAGGGAGGAAGTCTGAGAAAGATGGAGAGGTGAGAAGTGGGGGCAATGTGCTAGTTCCAGCTGGAAGGAAAATGTTTTATTGAGCAAGAAACATCATCTACATGTTCCTTACTAATTTTCTTGACCTGAATTTATGACACCTATTGGAGATTGAAATCTTTTTCTATTTATTTTTTTATTTTGCTAATCCTCACCTGAGGATATTTTCCATTGATTTTTAGAGAGAGTGGAAGGAAGTGGGGAGAGAGACAGAGAGAAACATCAACATAAGAGAGACACATTGATTGGTTGCCTCCCAAATGTGCCCTGAGTGCCAAGGATCAAGCCTGCAACCAAGGTACATGCCCTTGACCAGAATCAAACCCGAGACCCTTCAGGCCAAGGGCCAATGCTCTATCCACTGAGCAAAACTGGCCAGGGCAAGACTGAAACCTAAACCTTCTCTTTCTCAGTTGAGACGTCCTGTGGTCCCATGATCAGGTCTCACTGAATGAATCGCAGTCTCCAGCTCAGCAGCAGTGTGTGAATTCAAGTTGAGGCTGGAGGCAGCTCACCTTTCTGTCTCCAGGTCCCTGGGCCCTGTAGTTGAGGGTGTCCACTCTGGTTGATCCTGAGGTGGGTGGGACTGTCCCTGACTCATGAGCCCTGCAGTTAGCCATCACAGCTAAGGGAGAGCTTTCAGGGGCAAGGCCCCCAGCTAAAGGCTTCTGCCGCTGGGAAGCTTGGTTCTGGCACCTTCATGTGAGTAGACCTCGCACAATCAACAGGGAGAGTTTTTGTTGTTTTTTTAACAAGTTTGTGATGATGCATTGGAAGCAAAGACATTCACGCAGATGACCTTATCCTGTGTGCTTTACACCTTGAGTTCTTTTTTTTTTTTTTTTTTAATATATATTTTATTGATCTTTTACAGAGAGGAAGGGAGAGAGAGAGTTAGAAACATCAATGAGAGAGTCATCGATCAGCTGCCTCCTGCACGTCCCTCACTGGGGACGTCCCCACAACCAAGGTACATGCCCCTGACTGGAATCGAACCTGGGACCCTTCAGTCTGCAGGCCGACCCTCTATCCACTGAGCCAAACCGGTTTCAGCAACAGGGCGAGTTTTGAATCTGCTGTTTCACAGCAGCCACTCAGGAAAACAATACATTTAGAAAGGGCAAGGAGTGTGCAAGAGGCAGCTGATCATGATTCTCTCTCATCGATGTTTCTAACTCTCTATCCCCCTCTCTTCCTCTCTGTAAAAAATCAATAAAATATATTTAAAAAATATGTTGAAAGATTCCAATTAAAAAAAAAAAAGGCAAAGAGAAGGAGTCTATTCGGGAGTTGTCATGAGCCCCCTGGGACCAGAGACACTGAGCTGGTCTCTGAGCCTCTTGTCTCACCTGTGCTCAGCCTCAGCCTCCGGCACTAACGCAGCGCTCCCCTCCCTGCCCTGAATGCAGTCATGCTTGGCCATCATTTTTAGCCTGGTCCAGAGCACTCTCTGGAGAGGGACCCTGTGGGAACCCTAACCAGAATATGCCAGATGATCAAGGCCCATTTGCCATATGCATGCGTGCAGGGAGGGTGTAACTGTTTATGTTAATGTAGTGTCTGTGTCACTAGTGGCATGAAGCCTCTTCTGTTTGAGCATGTGTATAAGTTGCCACTGACCAACCAGGGGGGCGGGACCGCTTTGTGTGGCTACTCTGAAGAACTACCTTGATGGCTCCTGTCTACAAAATGCTACTTGGTCTACAATAAAGTCTCTCCCATGTGCCCTCGCCTTCTCATGTCTCCGTGTAATACCTGGCCCAGAGAAGCTTGATGTAGTCAAGCAGGATCAAGGAGCTGGTGCTCCCACAGACCCTTTGCAGCTAGTGTGGCACCTGCCTTTGCCTCAGGTAGTACCTCTCCTCTACCTGCTGATTCACACAGGCAGGTGGCCCTACTCTGTCCCGCTATAGGAGGTAGTCTTCAGCAAGAGGCCCGCCAGCCTGGTGCCATCGGCTCAGGGGCCAAACCAAGGGTTCAAGCCCTGCCCCAGCTTGTTCCCAGGGAGATCCAGACAGCTCAGTGAGTGGCTAGGACTACCCAGAGCTGTTCCAGGCCTGTGTGTCATGGGCACCATGGCAAGGGGTGGGCACTGACAGGTGACAAAATGCTGTTGCTCTTAATGGGAACATTCTGTTTTCGGATCCCCGAGAGGCTGACAGACCTAGGGCTGAGGCTGAGGCTGAGTCCTGGGCAACTCTGAGCCCTTCCTCTTTCCAGACTTGTTGTCTCCTCCTTTCCCCTTTCTGCCATAATCAAGCCTTTCCCTTCAAGCTCTCCTGATGGTGGGAGAAGCATCCACCAGATACACCGTGTCAGGCAGAAGCCTCAGGAAGGCCTTTGGAAATGTTGGCAGCTAAACAGTGCCAGGTGTTAGACTTCAGTTCAGCAACCTCAGTTCATGAGTTCTGGCTAAGAATTAAGAGCTAAGACTCAAACTTCAAAAGAAAGTTTAGCACAGCCAGTGTAGCTTAGTGGTCGAGCGTTGACCTATGAACCACGAGGTCCCAATTCCATCCTTGGTCAAGGGCACATGCCCGGGTTGTGGGCTCAATCCCCAGTGTGGGGCGTGCAGGAGACAGCCAATCAATGATTCTCATCATTGATGTTTCTATCTCTCCCTCTCCCTCTGCCTTCCTCTCTGAAATCAATAAAAAAATTTTTTTTAAAAAAAGAGAACGTTTATTTAGAAAGTCACAGGTAGAAGAAGTGAGCCATAGAAGAAATGGAGTCAGGAAATGAGCTACAGAACCAAAAGAAGGGCCCCTGGAGCTTGGGAGGGAGGGAGTGAGAGAGACTGAGACTTGCCTTGAGAGATGGGAGAGAGAGGAAAGGCTTGAGCATGCCCTGGAAAAGAGAGAGCACACTGCCCTAACGGGTTTGGCTCAGTGGATAGAGCGTCAGCCTGAGGACTGAAAGGTCCCAGGTTTGAATCCAGAAAGGTCCCAGATTCGATTACAGTCAAGGGCATGTACCTTGGTTGTGGGCACATCCCCAGTGGGGGGAGGGGGGAGAGGGGGTTCAGGAGGCAGCTGATCGATGTTTCTCTCCCATTGATGTTTCTAACTCTCTATCCCTCTCCCTTTCTCTCTGCAAAAAATCAATAAAATATATTTTTTTAAAAAGAGAGAGAGCACATTCTAGGTCCCTGTCTTAAGAGCTTTTATCCTTTTATTTCGGAGTCCCAGGGGAGGATCCAATAGAACATTCATCAGCTTTCCTGATGTGCCCCTCAGAGTGGTAGTCTCCACTGATTGGTTGGCTCCAGGGTCATTAGTCAAGACAGCTGGTCCAGAAGCCAGCAATGGCAGTCACTGATTTTGCTGCTCCGCTGGGCACAGCCGAGGCCTTGATGCCATGCCCAGGGTTAATGCTGAAGGGAGTGGTCCTGCAAGGGCTTGCAGTTTTGCCGGTTTCTCCTCCTCATGACCCTGTGTCCCGGGCCTCTGGTTCCTACTCATGCCTGTCTGGTACCCACTACAGACGGAGGCAAGCAGAAAAAGCCAGACCTGCTGAAAACGGGGCGTGCATTTCCATGGATGTGGGAAATACTGTGATTGATTTGTCGGCCAAAGGAAAGGCATCAAGTCTTCTTAGGGCAGGTGTTTATGAAGGTGTGTGGGGGCAATCGCTGAAATGATGGGGAGAGTCGGTGCATTTGCTGAGAAAAAGACCCCAGGAGGGGCAGCTGGAGGAAGAAAGGGGTGCGTTCAGCTTGAGCCACGTCTGCTGTGCAGAGACAGGTGGCAGGCTGGCTGGGGAGCAGGTCTGAGCCAGAGGACCCAGTGGAGAGGCGCCTGCAGCACAGAGGGGAGGAAAGCTGCAGAAAGCGGCCTCTGACCTCTCTCCGGTCGTCCCTGCTCTCCCCGCCGCCCCCCATCTCCTGGTAACGGTCCCGGAGTGTCAGGCCCAACAGGCGTCCAGCAGAGGCGGTCTCTCCTCACTGCTTCCCCTCAGCATTTGGGGACAGGGGCCGGCACCGTGAGGGCCAAAGCCTTTACCAGCGGCCCAGCCCGAAGCATGAGGCCCGAGCTTCCGCAGCGGAGGGGCCGGGCCAGGGCTGGAACCCGTGCCCCACCGCCCGCCCGCCGCCCGGCGGCGCTGCCAGGCGGGCGCGGCGGGGACGGGGCGGGTTGGCCCGGGCGCGGCGGGCGCCGCTCCGCCGGGAAGCCGCTGCGGCCATCTTGGTTGAGGGCCGGCGGCTAAGCCCCCTCCCCGCCTCCGAGACCCCGGCGAGGCGTCCTCTGGGCCAAACCACGTCGGAGCCAAGTTCCCGAGGCCGCGGGGCCGCCATTCCTTAGGAAGCCGCCTCTTCTCCGCACCTGCCCCGCCGCGGGGCCCGCAGGCCGCCGGGGCGGCGGCGGGGAGCGGGCCGCGGACGGAGCGGGGGCCGGGGGGCCCGGGGCCGGGGCTCCCCATGGCGCCGCCTCCGGCCTCGCTCCCCGCGCGGGACCCCGGGGCGGCGGCGCGCGCGGGAGGGAGCCCGCAGCCCGTGAGCTTCGCGGACGTGGCCGTGTACTTCTCCCCGGAGGAGTGGCGGAGCCTGCGGCCCGCGCAGAGGGCCCTGTACCGGGACGTGATGCGGGAGACCTACGGCCACCTGGGCGCGCTCGGTGAGGCCCGGACCCGCACGGGGAGGGGGTGTCCCCGCACGGGAAGGGGGAGCCCACACGGGGAGGGGGTCCCTGCACGAGGAAGGGGTCCCTGCACGAGAAGTGGGGTCCGCGCACGGGGAGGGGGATCCCGGGCCGGGGCGGCGGCCTCCGGGCAGCGCGGTGTGCGTTCCTCTCCCCAGGGTTCCGCGGCACCAAGCCGGCGCTCATGGCCTGGGTGGAGGCGGAGGCTGAGCTGTGGGGGCCGGAAGCCCGAGACCCGGAGCTGGGAGCGGGTCTGACCGAGGGGGACGCGGGTGAGTACTGGGGACGCCGCCTCGCCCACTCCCCTACCCGCTCCTCCGTCCCTCCCTGGGCGAAGGCGGAGGAAGGGCGGTGTGACCAGCTCTGCTGGGAGCGGTCAGGCTCTCCACTCCCGTGTGACGGGGAGCCCCTCACATCTCGTTGGCCTGAAGCTCTGTCTTGTTCCACATCATCCCCCCTGTTTGCCTCCATCTAGCTCCTCCGCCCTGTGCTTTATTTAGTTTACTTTCTTTTCTGTTATATTTTGGAGCAGCTTCCTTCCCTTGGCCTGTGCTGTTCGCTAGTGATTGGGCCTGCAGCTTGTTGCTCGGTGTACCCAGCGCCTCTGAGCCTGGCTCAGCCCAGCTCACGTCTGTGCGGTGCTCGCTGCCCGGAGCATCCCTGAGCATCTTATTCCCCAGGATCCAGTTAACACCCTTGCTGCCTGCCCCCAGTCATTTCCTGGCCTCACGGTAGAATGTACTGTGCTACCTCCTCCACTTCTGATGCTTTGCTTTGTCCTTGGCAGCTGAGGAAAGGTGTGGTCCGTTTCCCTGCCTGGCCTGAGCTGAGTCCCCGAAGCAGCTGTGGGCCCCGGAGGTGGCTGTGTGGCAGGCCTCTCATCACATGGGGTGTGGGATTCAAGGAGCAGGATAAATAAGCCAGGTCTGAGCTCTCCCCTTATCTCCCAGCAGATTCCAGAAACAAGGAAGAGAAAGGACTACTGGAAGGCACCGGGGCCCTGGAGAAGATCCTTCCTGTGGATGCTCAGTCTCTCGGGCTGAAGGCTCTCAAACCCACTCCTGCGTGTCTCCCTTACAGTTTGGAGCAGCTCTCCAAGGTGCCTCACCGGGGTCGCCCCCCACTCTTTGCCCACCCCCCGGTCCCACGGGCAGACCATCGTCACGGTTGCTACCTCTGTGGGAAGAGCTTTGCCTGGCACTCCACTCTGGTGGAGCACCTGTACACCCACACGGGCGAGAAGCCCTTCTCTTGCCCTGACTGTGGCAAAAGCTTTGGCCAGGCCTCCTCCCTGAGAAAGCACCTCGCCATCCACCGTGGGGAGCGGCCCCACCGCTGCCCGGACTGTGGCCGGGCCTTCACCCAGCGCTCTGCCCTCACCACCCACCTACGGGTGCACACGGGCGAGAAACCCTACCGCTGTGCCGACTGCGGCCACTGCTTCAGCCAGAGCTCTGCCCTCTACCAGCACCAGCGGATCCACAGTGGCGAGACCCCCTTCCCTTGCCCGGACTGTGGTCGTGCTTTTGCCCACGCCTCAGACCTTCGGCGCCACGTGCGTACCCACACGGGCGAGAAGCCCTACCCGTGCCCGGACTGTGGGCGCTGCTTCCGGCAGAGCTCGGAAATGGCAGCCCACCGGCGAACCCACAGCGGGGAGCGCCCCTACCCCTGTCCTCAGTGCGGCAGGTGCTTTGGCCAGAAGTCGGCCATGGCCAAGCACCAGTGGGTCCATAGGCCTGGTGCCGGGAGACACAAGGGCCAGGGTGCCGGTGGGTTGCCTGTCACCCTGGCCCCTGGCCCCGGGGACCTAGACCCACCTGTGAGCTTCCAGCACTACCCAGAGATATTCCAGGAGTGTGGGTGATGGCCTCAAAAGTGAGAAGACAAAGGGGGAAGATCTAAACATTTCCTGAGGCCCAAGCTGGAATGAGTACTGAACCTCTGGGGCTCCAGGAAGGTCATAGAATGCCTTGTAAGAGCTGGACCTGGGGAACAAGGGCCATCATATTACACCCTCTACAGCTTGACAGGGGGCCACCTCAGTCTCTGCTGGCCTGGACTCTAGAAGCCCCTTTGCTGAGTTAGGACTGAGGTAAGACCCTCCCCGCCACCACCACCGACCTAGACTGGGGGAAGAAAAGGCCGTTTCTCAGATGTGTTAAAAGGATTGAGATGGAAGAGAACATTGTTTTACCTGTTTGCCTTTTCACTGCATCATGGTGGTAGGCACATCCATCTTAGACCCAACCAAGAGGTCTCATTCACTGCACTGAATCAGGCCTGCAACTCTTATTTTTTGGCCTAGTCAGAATTTTATTTTTTTTATTTTTATTTTTTTAATAGCCAGTTTTTATTTTTTTAATTTAATAAATATTTATTGTTCAGATTATTATAATTGTTCCTCTTTTTTTCCCCCCCATAGCTCCCCTCCACAAGGTTCCTACCCCACCCTCTGCTCTTAACACTCCCCCGCCACTGTCCTCATCCGTAGGTGTACACTTTTTGTTCAGTCTTCCTGCACCCCACACACCGCTTTTCCCCAAGAATTGTCAGTCCACTCCCTTTCTATAGCCCTGATTCTATTATATTTACCAGTTAATATTCATCAGATTCCACCCTCCCCCCTTGGTTTTTAGATTCACTTGTTGATCATAATTTTTAAAAATATATTTTATTGATTTTTTACAGAGAGGAAGGGAGAGGGATAGAGAGTTAGAAACATCGATAAGAGAAAAACATCCCTCAACTGCCTCCTGCACAGACCCACTGGGGATGTGCCCACAAACCAAGGTATGTGCCCTTGACCGGAATCGTATCTGGGACCCTTGAGTCTACCGGCTAGTGCTCTATCCACTGAGCCAAACCAGCTAGAGCTGTTGTTCATAATTTTTATCTTTACCTTTTTCTTCTTCCTCTTCTTAAAGAATACCTTTCAGCATTTTGTATAATTCTGGTTTGGTGGTGATGAACTCCTTTAGCTTTTTCTTATCTGTGAAGCTCTTTATCTGACCTTCAATTCTGAATGATAGCTTTGCTGGGTAGAGTAATCTTGATTGTAGGTTCTTGCTATTCATCACTTAGAATATTTCTTGCCATTCCTGTCTGGACAGCATAGTTTCTGTTGAGAAATCAGCTGACAATCGTATGGGTGCTCCCATGTAGGTAACTAACTGTTTTTATCTTGCTGCTTTTAATATTCTTTCTTTGTCTTTTGCTTTTGGCATTTTAATTATGATGTGTCTTGGTGTGGTCCTCTTTGGATTCCTTTTGTTTGGGCTTCTGTGTGCTTCCTGGACTTGTAAGTCTATTTCTTTCACCAGATGGGAGAAGTTTTCTGTCACTATTTCTTCAAATAGGTTTTCAATATCTTTCTCTCTCTCTTCTTCTGGGATCCACATAATTCTGATGTTGATACGCTTGAAGTTGTCCCAGAGGCTTCTTACACTATCTTCAACTTTCTGGATTCTTTTTTCTTTTTGCTTTTCCAGTGGAGTGTTTTTTGCTTTTTTGTATTCCAAATCTTTGACTTGATTCTTGCAATCATCTAGTCTGCTTTCAGGTCCCTGTATAATATTATTTATTTCAGTCAGTGTATGCTTAATTTCTAATTGATCCTTTTTCATATCCTCGAGGGTCTCATTAAATTTATCGGCCTTTTCTAGGAAATTCTTGAAAAACCTTAAAACTGTGGTTTTGAACGCTATAGCCAGTCTTTTGCTTTCCTCCATTTCCTTCATTTGTGGCCTACTTCTTTGTCTCTGCATTTTAGCTGCTTCCCTGAGTTGATGGAGTAGCTTTGTGTGCTAGGTGTCCTAGCAGGGCCCAGTGGCTCAGCCTCCCCAGTTACCTAAGGTGGACACTCTTGGTGCACCCCTTTGTGGGCTGTGTGTGCAATCTTGTAGTTAAACCTTGATTGTTGTTGGTATTATGGTAGGGAGTTGACCTCCGGGCCAATTGGCTAAGGATCAGCAGTGTCTCCGCTGGGAGAGCTTCTGTGCTCAGCTTAGATGGAGCAGAGTCTCAGTGTGGAGCTGACAGCCTTGGTTTCCCATCAGCCCCTCCCTAAGAGGCCCCTATGTCTCAGTGTCCCACAGCAGTGGCTGCATGCACCTCTGAGAGAAGGCTGCTCTCGAGTTTCGCCTGCTTTCAGACAGTCCAGTTTCTTCCCGAATGAGTCTGGTACCCAAAGTCTCACCTGGAGCCGGATTTCAGTGCAGTCCCAAATGAGAAAGCTAGCCACGCGTTTGCTGCCCGCCCTCTCTGCGCACCTAAGTAAGTAAGCCGACTGTGTATTCAGCTGCCCGCCCTTTCCTCGCACACAGGTCTCTGCACCTCAGTGTCCTTTTCTCTTTCCTTCTAGTTGTAGAATTTCCACTCAACCAGCTTTCCGGTTGTTCTGGACAATGTCCGCTCTGTCTTCCAGTTGCAGTTTTGAAATTGTTGTATGAGGCAGCAGAATAAGTGTTTACTTATGCTGCCATCTTGGTTTCCTGGCCTAGTCAGAATTTTAAAATATTACAAATTATTGGTTAAGATTCACACAGAATCCAGGTTTCTGATTTCTCTTGAGAAATCCAAAGATTTGGCAACTCTACTTAAGCTCCCACAAAACCACAGCTGGCAGGAGCTGGGGCAGCCGTTCCCTTTGGATGGAGCCGGAGCCTGTGCTCAGCTTCAGCATGCTCGCCACCCTCTTCAGCTCCTGACCAGCATCAGCCGGCACTCATGGCTTGCCCATGTCTTTTCCAAGCAGGCTCGCTCCATCTGGTGTTTTCCACCCCTTTACATGACCTGTTGGGCCTTTGGAAATTGGAGCTTGCAAACCATGGTCTATAGCGGCAGCTGCCAATTCTTTTGCAGTCAGAGCCCAGCCCTGTCCAGGCAATGGAAGCAGCCAGCCATGGGCAGACCCTGTCCTGCCTGTGGTCAGGACAACCCTTCACTTGAGGAGGAATAGAGGTTATGTCCTCTGCTGGCCCATGTGTACTTGCCTTTACTCAATCCCATGTCTGCTTACCTTAGGAAGGAAGATCTGTCAATCTGGAGAAACTTCTAAAGAAAGAGAACATTTGGGGAAAAGACACTGTTCAGGTGAAGTAATGAACTGACTTGATTCAAAGTCTGAGCCCACCTGAATCTTTCTGGGAGGATTAGCTAGTGCACCACCTTGTCCTAATGGGACATGGTATGAGAAGGCACCTTAGTGCAGCAGCTACCTTTGTACCAGCTATTTATTTATTTATTTATTTATTTATTTATTTTAATTTTAATTTTTTTTTATTTTTTACAGGGAGGAAGGGAGAAGGAGAGAGAATTAAAAACGTCGATGAGAGAGAAACATCGACCTGCTGCCTCTTGCACACCCCCTACCGGGGATGTGCCCGCAATCAATGTACATGCCTTTGACTGGAATCGAACCTGGGACCTTTCAGTCCGCAGACCAACGCTCTACCACTGAGCCAAACCGGTTTCGGCTGTACCAGCTTTTAATTCCCTAGAGAAGGCAGTGTATATCTCCTAACTCAGGCTGCCTGGGGAAAACCCAGCCTGAAACCCATTCTCACTCAGCTTGCTGATTAAGGTGTCATAATTACTACTTTCTTTGAGTGCTTTGAAGTTTGCAGGCTTGCTTAAGGCCCAAATGCCAGACCAAGCTCTTCTGCTTCCTGCCTTCAGGACCCAACTTTTCACCATTAAAAGATAATTTTTGAGTGTCATGAAATACTTAAGCTGTGGCCTCATTCCATTCCATTCTTTTAAAAATATATATATTTTATTGATTTTCCACAGAGAGGAAGGGAGAGAGAGAGAGAGCTAGAAACGTCGATGAGAGAGAAACATCGACCAGTTGCCTCTTGCACACTCCCCACCGGGGATGTGCCCACAACCAACGTACATGCCCCTGACCGGAATCGAACCTGGGACCTTTCAGTCCGAAGACCGACGCTCTACCACTGAGCCAAACCGGTTTTGGCCTTATTCCATTCTTAACTCCTCATTGCTTGGCAGGATACTTCCATCAAGGGTAGGGCTCTCTTCTGCTACTGCAGGTGTCTGAGGCTCAAAACTCAAAACAATTGAAGCCGAAAGAGTTTCTAGGGCTTCATTGGAGAAATGCTTGTCTGTACCAGATATGAGCCCATCCAGTCCCCATTGTGAGAGGTGAGGCCATGACCACATGTCTAAAATAAGGGTATTGATTTGAGTTCCAAAGACCCTAAACTTTTTAGGAATGTTTACATGTATCTTTTTAGAAACAGGATGTGCAAAGCTGTGACCCAAAGAAGCTAAAGCCTGCATTAGGCCAATATTTTTCAAAGTAAGGCCTCCCTGCCGAAGAATCTCATCGTTTCTTTAAAACATAGCTAGCACCCTAGTTGGTTTGGCTGAGTGGACCATGGATTTAAGGGACCCAGGTTCAATTCTGGTCAAGGGCAAGTACCTCCATCCCCGGCCCTGGTCTGGGCACGTGGGAGGCAACCAATCGATGTGTGTCTCTCACATTGAGGTTTCTCTCTGCCTCTCCCCTGCTTCCCACTCTAAAAATCAATGGAGAAGAAAATCCGTGTTCAAGCTTTCTGTGTGCTTAGGTGCCTGGGCTGCTGAGGGTCTAAGTCTGGGCAGCCGAAGAGTGGTTAGCAAAATGAATAAAGATGTGCAGATGAGAGCAGTGATTAAACAAAAGTTGATAGGAACTGGAGAAAGAGAACATCAGAGTTGCTGAGAGCTAAATTAATTGAATGTGGTGGAAGGATCAACTGAAGGCACACTGTGAAGGTAATTAAAGAAAAAGGACCAGAACATGTCACTGTGGATGACTTGGTGGCTGAAATCACACCAACAGGCAGAGCCCTGGTACCTGAC